GTTTGCACGAAACGGTAAGCGCACGAAAGTCACACGCTTTTTTGGGGTAGTAGCACGTCTCAGGGTCTGTACATGACTTTTAAAATATAAATTGACTATTAGTGCTGCAACAAAAAGTGTAAGGGATGGGGGCAACAAGCCTTTCGCTGAACTTTGCCAGTAGTAAAAAGTCTGTTACGTTTAGGAAAATGTTTCGTGGCCACCCTCCCCTCTACCGGTGCTGGCGCGGATCCAGAAATTTTTTTCTAGGGGGGGTCCACCCCTGTCAAAAAAAAACCCAATCCCAGAAATTTCTTGACAAGCAAAAAAAAAAACAAAAAACAAAACAAAAACAAAAAAACCTAAACTCGCCCAAACGTGAAAATCCTACTTCGTTGGGGGGGGGGGGGGGGGGTTGGTTAGGGGGGACTTCTATTGCCTCAAATCCTTCACTGTTCATACCCATTTCACACATATTCATGTTTACCGGGGGGGATTCCAAGGTAATTTTTTTCTTGCTTTATATATACATTTCTTAACCTTGTAAATTCCAGGGGGGGGGGGGGGCTGACCCCCGACCCCCCTCTAGATCCGCGCATGTGGTGAAACTTACCCCATAGGAGGTCGTTCAGACGGAAGTCAGTAAATATATTGAGACTTGGGGGTGTGATTGTACATTGTATAACGTCCCTTTAAATTGGAGAATTTTTAACTCAAATGGAGAAGCCACCTCTGCCGGCGGAGAGCTATAAATTTGTCCTATATACCCGGCACTTATAGCCATTGAGCAGTGAGGGATCTTTTTTCGGGCCAGCACCTACTGCGATACGGGACCTTGGATAATACGGTCTAGATCTCATCCGAAGGACTGAACTCCACGTCCCATAGTGGGACTATGATTCGAACCCACGACGTATTGATCGACTCCTTACTACTGTGTTTCGTGACTCTAGAGCAGACGCCGTAACCACAGTGCCATGCTGGCGACTGCACCCGGGGGGGGGGGGGGGGGGGCGGGGCTGCGTCCAAGGGGGGGGGGGGGGAGTCATTATCCATTAATAATCGTGGAAATTATCTATGTTTAACTAAATGGTTAAAATGATTTAATTATTAACCACTATTAAAATGATATCATTAAAAAATTTATTCATATAGGACGGATAACTTTTCTTCAAAAACTGAAAATGTTAGTATATAAACATTGTTTTACGATTTAAAAAAAAAAACTATTCGGGGGAGGGGTTTCTATGAAGGGGGACGAATTGCTATATACAGCGAGATTGCCCACGGAAGACTAGCTATATATTAAAACTTCCCCGGGGGAAGTCTCACTGTATAATCTTCCGAAGAAAGCATCACTATCACGGCGGGGAATCTACGTCATCAATCGGGATTAGAGCACACAAAAATGGCGAACATTTTGTCGACTGAAGCTATGAAATTGCATTTTATGTTCAAGGATCGCAATATATGGAGACTTCAGGTAACCTAAAGAATGTAGAAAAGGTAGCAGGTCTATAATCTTTAAAAAAATTCCTGAATTTAACGTTAAATTTGCCAAACACTTCGACACAGTTATTGACGTGAGCGCGAAGTGTTGGGGTATAGGGCACACAATTTTACAAAAAAATCGCATATGTACAAATATCCACAAAATGGTGACTGTCTAAGCTTAGAAATAATAACCCATATGTTAGAAGTATGTTTTTTATGTTACTTTTTATGTAAGACTTTTAAATTACGGTTGGAAAATACGATTTTATTTGTGTCTTGGTGAAACTGATATAGGTCACACAAGTTATAAAGAAGGTATGGGGCACACTTTTTTTATTGATGTACAGCTTCCAGTACTTTTTAAGCTTACATAATTCTATCATACGCACTAAAAATTTAATTAATCGAGCTTTACTTGATACTTCTTAATTGAAGTTTTCAAATTGACTTCTTAAAAATGAGTTTTTGTTGATTAAGTCCTCTTTCAAACATCAACTGTGAAAACTGATAATTATTTTAAAGAAAATATACCTTTTACAAAAGATATCTAATATAACATATTATTTAAAAAAAAATTTAAAAATTGTAGATCAAACGAAATAAATGACAAAGAGGAAAAGCAATTTGAGTCTAAATCTCCCAAAAAGGCACAGACACAGAGATAATGAAAATAAAGATATTTCAAATGCACAAAAGCGGAAACGAATTTTCTCAACGCCTTCAAAAAGGATATCGTTCCGCCCATGGTGCACTAACTTTCAGGGAACAAGATTGGGATGTAAGACCCCATCAAAGACGGTCAGAAAATCACCTTCAAAATCTCCAGCTCGGAAAATTCCCAGAACGCAGTTATTCAACGAATCGCTGATCAACCGCTCTGAGGACAATTTTGATATGATACCAATAGGTAACGAAAGAGAAAATAGTACTCTCCTAGATAAATTCTTAGAACTGGCACCAGATGTTGTTTCTGCGATTCAAAGACATGATCAGGGTTGCAATTTTTATAACCTGTTACAGTTGATTGCACAAGAAAGGTTTCCATGGAGAAATATTTCATACACCCTGCTCAGTGATATTATTCAGTGGCACAGTAAAGAAAATACAACATGCATGCGATATAGCAATGAATCAAAACTTTTCTGGAAGCTGGGCTGGATTATATTTGGGGGTAAATTTATTAGATTTATGAGTGGATTCAAAAATGCCACACAACTTATATCTGGAGAAACGAGTCGCGGAAAATTCAAGCCCGACAAAGCTGATGTTAACTTTGCTGTGCCAGATATCTCCGTTCTTCGTAGTTTTTCTCCGTATGGTACCCAATCTCCTCACAGATCACCAGGAATATTTACCGATTTGATGAAGGACATTGCAACAGCACTGCAAAACACTTCTGCATGTTTATCTTTTGATGGAAAAAAACTTAAACAAGGTTTGACAGACAGAACAGGTGATATAGACCTTCTTGGATTTGAAAAGGGAAAGTCACTGCATCAAAGGCAAAAAGAAAGATTTGAAGAACTAGATAGAATAAAGGAAATTTTAGACATAATTACATCTAGAGCAGACGAAGAAGATGTACAGGAAATGCCCATTGATTTGAAGAGAAATATATGCAAACTGCTCAAAGGCATTCTATTATCACTGTCCAAATATGCACAGATTTCTCGAAAAACAAAAGTCAAAAAGAGCTACGCAAAAGAAAAATTCATCCAGAGATCTGGTGCAGACTGGAAGCGAGGACAATTTGTGTACGTCATCAGTGCCATTAATGCACTACTTTTTGAAATTGACGCTTTCTTAACAAGTTACAAAGACGTCATAGAAAAGATATGCTTTTATGTGTCTGTGCTCCAAGGATCCCATGGTCAATACATTTTAGGGAAAAATGTTCATTTGAACGCTTGTGAAAATTATGAGGCCCTATCCACAACAGAATCAACAGATACTCGTCTTGTTAAGCAGCGTTCCGAAACATGGTTTTACATTAGGAGGGAGGGGAGAGTTTCCGGTAGTACTATATATGCAGCAGTTGGTTTGGATGGATTAAAAAAGCTACAAGAGCATTTTGAGCGTGTTGTTTGCAAACTGCCCGAAAAAGAAAAAACAGAGTCATTGAAACAGATATTAGAATATGGAACAGAGAATGAGATAAATGCGGTTTCAACCTTGGTATCTAAAGTTCTACCTGTTCTGTATCCGGATTTAGTGTACTTTGAAGAAGGTTGTATTCGATTACAATACAATGGAAATACATTTATGATTGTGTCGCCTGATGGAAGCATACGACACAGAATCAATGGAAAGACGGTCGATATAATGAGCGTTGAATTCAAGTGTCCAATACGAAGTTTGCATGAAGAGTTGCCTGAAAGGTACTTGCTTCAATGTCTTGCAGAAATGGAAGCTTTAAAAGTAGAAAAGTCTCTTTATGTCTGCTGGAGACCTGACTTAACAAGTGTGTTTGAAGTGTCCCATAATCATGAGCTTTTCGATCGTGTGGTAGGAGAAGCTGCTACTATGTATTGCATAGAAAATCCAAAACGTCCAACCAAACTTCCAAATTCCCTAGCAGAAATTAGAGCACTTATAAAGCAAGAGTGTAATAAGGCAAAGTTCTTAGGAGAATTTCCGTCTACATTTGATTGTCAGGAAGATTGCATTAACAGAGGTTTTACCAGAAATGTTACTAACAAAGATCTACAAGATTTGATTAAAAAACTCCACTGTTTATTGATAGACGGATATGAGCTTCAAAGAGAGAAAGCTACAGAGGCAATGGTGTTTTTATGTTGTGACCTGGACAGAAATTGGTCAAAGGATCCGTTTAGATGGGCCCCAGTCTGCTGGTTTCCAAAGGGGTACAGCCTAACAAATGAGATATTTAGACCAATTGTGGAGGAGGTCCGAAACCAGTGTCATCAAAATGGAATACATGTACCGTGTTCTTCCTTTGATGGGCAATGGCATAATATTGCAGTTAGAAGTGTCAAAGGCGAACCATTGACAATCTATCAGTTGCAAAAGGATGTATGGCGTTTTGTGGAGAAAACACAGAAATCCCAGATTGTAAAAGCTTTCAGCACAATCAACATGAATCCCACTTGGACAATTACGAGGGTCAGGTGCTCTGAAGAAGACAAAAGAAATGAGACTGTTCATATCTTATTCAAAGGCGAACCATTGACAATTTACTTTACACAATTTTCAAACAAATTAAATTGATGTATCACGAATTCCTTGATTTGAAGAATTTTAGTTTGGAATACAATAAAAGTTATGCACAAAACGTTTGATTTATTATGATTTATTTAGCATTAACAAGTAACAATGTTTGCAAAGTACTATGCAAAAATAAACAAAATCAATATGAAATCATACCTGAATACTTAGTAAAACAATAAACGAGGAGAAAAAACATTGCTTTTTGTTAGAACAATTTTACGAAATATGAAAAATCAACTGGATTTCTTCCAAATATCTCAAATTAATCTATAAAAAGAACTGTTTCTCTGAACAAAAAAAGTAATGAATGTGTACAAGCAAAGACAGAAAATTTACACATTAACCATGTTAAGCAGAACAAAACATTTAAAATGATGTCACATTTCACTCGAATGTTACAGAAAGAGAATTAGCCTAGAATGTAAAACATCTGTTCATACCAAATAATACTATCCTTAATCATTTTTACTGTGTCTCTCTAGGTGTTTATCAAGATAGCGCTTTGTTTTGAAGACTTTCTTGCAAACTCCACAAGGATACAAGCAGGCATTGTGAAGTTTGAAATGTCTATTCATATTACTTTGGAACCTAAACAATTTGTTGCATTCTTTGCATCTATGTCTCTTTTCACCTGTGTGCGTTCCCATATGATCCATTAATTGCGCTTTCTGTTCAAATGGCATATTACACTGATCACACTTGTACTTCATCCTTTTCTCCTCTCTCTTTGTATGACGTTCCAAATCTTTTATTGAGAAAAATTTCTTCTTACAAGTTCTGCATTCATATTTCCTAATTTTAATATGTTTACAATCGTGTCGTCTGAAATTGGCATTGCTGTAAAAGGCTAATCCGCATTCTTTACACTTGTAAGGTCCAACTCTCGAATGTCTTAACTCGTGCTGCCTTAATGAGCTCAAGTTTGATAGTTCCTTGGCACAAAATTGGCAAAGTCTTTTTGAGATCTCACTACAAAGGATGAGGAAAAGAGTGGAATAACTTATTTTATGCTCAAATATTAGCAACAATAAACATACTAGTGTCAAAAGTCTTTTTACAAAAAGCCAAATAAGGATCCAGGAACTTTTTCGAGGGGGAGGGGGGGGGGGGGTTACACAAAATCAAAAAATATTTTGACCCTAAAACATTTTGATAAACAACAAGCAAAAAAAAAAATAAATAATAAAAAAATAAACAAACATGGAAAAATTATTTCGAGTATTTGTATGTAAGAGGGTGTTTGTTTCTGTGTTTTTGGAGGGGCATGATACTTAACATAGAAATATCGTAAAGAACTTAGAATATAAAATCTAGATTCTGGATATCCTTCTAGATCCGCGCTTGTAAAATCGCGGTAAAGGATGAGGTGACTTGCGGCCCCTCGTATACTGACAAAAAATTAAATGTCTAAATTTTACTCAAATTTTTGAATGTAACTAATCACTGATATGTGTACCTTTATAGAATACTAATTCTAACAAAAATAGAAACGTGATTTGAAAGATATAGATCTTTTATTGTGGTAGGGGTATCATGTTTACATTCAATTCCCATTGCATTTTAACCCCGCCCCACTCTTTGAAGCCCTTAAAATATACGAGCGCATGTAGGTACAATTTTCTCCTTTGGCTGGTCACTGTATTTTATTCAAATCTACCTATATGTGAAAGCAGAAAATTGTACCTAACTGCGCTCACATGCTATTTTTTAAAACATGTAAAATCTAGTTGGCCTTTCCCATTATAAACAGATCGACGGAACAAGGTTTTCTGATGTAAGAATGAATTCATATGCTAATCGAGGCACAGGCGATACTTTCTAACTGACCAATCAGCTAAATGAAATTCGTTACGAGTGAGTACCACAAAAATATTATGGTAACATGCTTGGAATTTTACTGCTTTCCGATATCTTTTATGCATTTGAGTCACAGATTAGACACGGATCTACATATGTACCATTTCCGAGACCACAGTAAAATTTTTATACAGTTACAAATAATTGATAGAATATACATGATATACATTAGTTTAAAGTTTTGTAGCGTGTTTGGTGAGCAATTCGTTAGGTCTGTACACGTATTCCCGAGTATCGGTGAATACAAGTTTCATGTGCATTTCTTGTCCTAAAAACCGTAAATGCTGAAAATTCATGCGTATTATTAAGTATAAACAGCATTGGCTGACCATTATAAAAGTTTGAAATGTAGAAAAGGACAACAGGTAAATTGACCAAAACCACGTGTCTGCGATAAAATGTTAACGTAGTAAACCAGCATGTTTAGTTGTTCTGTCATCGGATTGGACAATGACTAAGTGCGAAATAATAACAATAGCCATATAAGGTCTTCTCGGGCACGCATATCCCTCTATTGTACTAAGACCCGCCCATTCTCTTGCCATAAAAGAACATATTCGCACAAACCTGGCCGAATTTAGCTGTGATAGGGTCTAAAAAATCAAAGATAATGCAGTATTCCTTATAATTAAAATGTGTCTCAACTATTGAAACTATTCAAAAGGCGTCGTATTTATTCACTCATGTTTGAAAACTACCAACATCGTTATAGATTAAATATAATTCGTCGTGGAAAAAGGGGCCCCAGATAGCAGTTATGTCACATCATCCTTTGATATAAATGAAAGTTAAACTCTTAATAAATTTAGGATTTTGCTTCTAGATTTGAGTTTCATCTTATAATTTTTATATGAATATAACCAAACAAAAAAAAATGAAGTATTAAGTACTAGTGTTTGAAAAGGTACTACAGGGATACGTTGTACAGGTCATTGTTAATAAACTATCGAATACCAGTCATTAAAAGGGAAACGTCAAGTTTTGATTGCATTGACAAAGAAAGGTATCATAATAATGTGGCCCATATCCCGTTTTAATACTGGTGTGCCCTACATCATTTCTAAAAAAGGGAGATTTTTACTTTTTCCCATGAATTAATAAACTTTCAAACAAGTCAAGATATTTCAAATGTTAGTTCTTAAGTGAACAAGGGGAGAAGAAAGTGTCTGATTCATATGAAAATGTGAATAAGCGGTCGAGTTTTCAAAGTGTGTGCCCTACGTCCCGAGTTTTTCTCCCTTGTTTACAAACTGTGTCGAAGTGTTTGGAAGAATAAGATTCTATCACGGGCCAACGTAGAATATCTACGGTAGTTGACACTCTTTTGCATACTTTAGACAGTATATTGCGTTAATATTGTTTCGTTATTCGTGCAAAAAAACCAACTTCTTACCTCGAGGTGGAGTTTTCAAGCGCCATTTTTGTGTGTTCTAATCCCGATTGATGACGTAGATTCCCCGCCGTGACTATGTAGACAGTCTTCCAGGGGAAATATTACCATCTTCCGAGGGAGTGGCATTATCGGGTACATACCTGAACTTATAACAAACATCATTTGAAAATTTAAGTTCGATTGATAAAGTATTAAGGCAGAAAATTGAAAAATCTCGAATAACCCCGGCCCGGGTTTGCTTACCTAGTTTTACCAACACTCGTAGCGAACACCCCTGCCACCTAGCGTTATAATGCGGCACTAAATTTTGACAACTTGTATTCGTCTTCACTGAATATGCTTCATTCTTTGTGTGATTGAATTCACGTTCGTAATAGAGATAATCATTTAAGAAACTGTATCAATTTAAAAGAAAGTAAAATGAATTTACAAGAATAAAGCAACATAGAAGTAAGGGCAAAATGAAGAAGGATAAAAGTCAAAGTGAAATGTAATAAAGACGAATATGAAAACAATAAAGCGACGTATAATTACAACAATAACAAAGCCTAAAGAAGTAGGCAGAATAAGAATAAAAGCAAGATACATAGACTTTTGGCGGTAATTCCCTTCCATAGTCTGGTAGCAGGAAACATGCAAGACTATTTTTTTTTTTTTTGCCTTATGTAATATTTATGTACATGTAATAAAATTATGTAACTATGTACTTGTTGTATGCTCAAAAGGGTGTTGATTATAAAGATATAGATTCTTAAAGAAATATTAAATACTACAGGTAAAGCAAACTTTGGACTAGACAGTGTATTCAGCTTTCTCTGCTGAAATAATGTGGCCAAATCAAGTGTCACCTGGAATGAGGAATGGCAAGGGTGCTTTTTACTTTAACTCCAAAATAGCCATTGGTTTGTATTTAAAACTTCATTTGTTTCCTTTCTTATTTTTTCCTTTCAGTTTACACTTGCACATGTATCAGGGTAAATCCAGAATTTTTTTCCAAGGAGGGGGGTGGGGTTGGTAAAAAGGAGGTGTTTTATAATACATGTATTATAGATTTAAATTTATGATTTTAAGTCCTTGTATTTTTAAGTTACACACCATAATGTACAAATTATTGTATACATGTAGAAGAATTTTCTGAGTCAAATAATTTCTCAAAGATCATATTAATATTTCAGGAAAGTTCAAGCCAGATCTACTATAGCAAACTGAACATAAAGTGGCATACTTGTGTGACAGGAATCCATTAATATGTATGCTTGGACTGAGATTCTAACTGGGGATCCCTGCATCGCTAGTCAGGTGCTCTATTGACTTAAATACATGTACCAGTAAATGCTTGTGTATAGACATGCAAAAAAGACATATTGTACGAGGGTTGTCCCAAAAAGTCGTAGACAATGTTCATAACTTTTTAAACACGCAACCAATACTAACCAAATTTTGCATAGATATAATACATTCAATGTTCTTTAAAATTGTGAATTTGTAAATAAATATCTTTCATATTAATTATATTGGAGCGATATGGTCTGTCGGCGCACGACCAAAATTTGGAATGATTTACGCATATAACTATTACATTTGCTTTTATTTCTTTGGTACTATGTAAAAGATTGAATTAAAATTTATATCACTGAAACCAGAATCACAATCGTAATAATATGTCAAAATTTCAGAGAAATTGAATTAGAAACAGACGACTAATGGCATGATTTTCAAAGTCTTGTTGGAATTAAGACTGATGAAAATGACGTCATCGAATGCGTACCCGGCGCAAGGAAATGTGATAAATTGTTTTTGGTATGTTTAATCTTCATCAGAGACGGGGGAAAAGAGTACAAAAAGGATATTACACACTAGATTTTAAGAGAGAAGTTGTTTTTAAATAGCATGAGATTCAAAGATAGTTTTTTCCTCTATATCGAAAAAAAGGTATTGCATGTAAGAAGTAGAGTACTGTTAGTTAAACGCAGACATTTGGGAACGTTCTAGGCCATGAACGTGGTCAAACACTGTGTATTCTCTGCTTCTATTGACTTAAATACATGTACCAGTAAATGCTTGTGTATAGACATGCAAAAAAGACATATTGTACGAGGGTTGTCCCAAAAAGTCGTAGACAATGTTCATAACTTTTTAAACACGCAACCAATACTAACCAAATTTTGCATAGATATATAATACATTCAATGTTCTTTAAAATTGTGAATTTGTAAATAAATATCTTTCATATTAATTATATTGGAGCGATATGGTCAGTCGGCGCACGACCAAAATTTGGAATGATTTACGCATATAACGATTACATTTGCTTTATTTCTTTGGTACTATGTAAAAGATTGAATTAAAATTTAAATCACTGAAACCAGAATCACAATCGTAATAATATTTAAAAATTTTTGAGAAATTGAATAAACAGACGACTAATGGCATGATTTTCAAAGTCTTGTTGGAATTAAGATGGATGAAAATGACGTCGTCGAACGCGTACCCGGCGCACGGAAATGATAAATTGTTTTTGGTTTGTTTAATCTTCATCAGAGACGGGGAAAAAGAGTACAAAAAGGATAATATTACTCACTAGATTTTAAGAGAGAAGTTGTTTTTAAATAGCATGAGATTCAAACATAGTTTTTTCCCCTATATCGAAAGAAAGTTATTGCATGTAAGAAGTAGAGTACTGTTAGTTAAACGCCAATCTAATTAAAATTAGATCCTTTGATCCGCTCACCTAAGATCGCTACACAAAGGATCTAACAACTGCGCGTTAGGGGTCACCTCAGCATGACCTTTTGAAAAAAATATACAGCCAATGAAAATTGGTATGTGACGTCATCATCCGACCAATGAGTAAGAGTGTTTTATACAGCTTCTAGCTTACACAAGCAAAATGGCTGCGCCCATACGTAAAGTTGAGAGAGAATTGGATATTAAATTAAAGAGCGAACAGGTGGAAATATTGCAAAGCCTTGTGGAAAAGAGGGACTGTATGGCAGTTTTACCAACAGGGTTTGGCAAATCATTGCCTTTTCAACTTCTCCCGCTTGTTCAGAAGGAGATGGGTCGTACCGGCATGGTTCTGGTGTGCTGCCCGCTTGTGTCTTTAATGAGAGACCAAGTGGATAGAACAAATACAATTAAAGGCTTGACAGCGGCATACAAAGGTATATGGCTTTTAATATTATTTTGTAATTATATATATTCATAAATAATGAAATGAGGGAGACGAGGACTAACTCGTCACTAACACTTTGAGGAAATTCCGGTTATTGCAAGTCGTGAAGTTGACACGCTCAAGATTCCTCACTGCTCAAAAGCCCTGCGTGCTAAGTAAAGCTTTGAACTTAAAGCCCTTCATTGATGTTTGGGAATGTTTTATATTTGTGCGAAAATGTAAAAATTCTCACATCAGACGTAAAACAATAAATAAACAGGTCCAGCACAATCTCTTGATTTAGCTATATAGCTTGAAATAGCTATATAGCTTGATTTAGCTATTTAAAATAGCTTGATTTAGGTATTTCATCATACTTTTTTTCTAAATTTGTGTAATTTTTTCAGTAGGTATAAAAATTCTAACTTTAATGCAGTGATAGTTTGGAACTTTGAACTGTTCTGTAAACAATGCATGTGAAAATTGCTAATCAAAACACGTCTCTTTCATAGACTTTGCACTCAAAGTTCTAAAAGTTTTGGGGCTCTCTAAGGCAATTGATTCATGACCACACAGTTACTTCTGGAATGAAATTATAAAGGAGGTAAAGATAATTGATTGGTGATAATTCAGCACAATATGAAGCAATCATACTTATCCATGCCTCAATGCACACAAAGTGGTGTACAGTTACCCAAACAATGGAAATACATCTTTTGCTTAAAAGTGTTCAAAAGCTGCAATGTTAAAATTATCTTTCATTTGGGTTGCTTTTTTGAAAGTCCATAGTACAAATATGAGTAATCACAAACTTGCGACTTTTTGTCTACTTCTTTAAAAAACCATTTCTGTGAAAAAGTGCATATAAATAGCTTTATCAAGCTATTCTGAATAGCTTAATAAAGCTATATACCTATTTCAAGCTATATGGCTAAATCAAGAGATTGTGCTGGACCTGATAAACAAACCACAGTGACTCAGATGAGAGTTGAATCAATAAATATGCAAACATGGTAATTCATAATGTGCAAGCATTTTGTTTGAATTTGGCAGTTTACTCGATATAATTAGGTTCTGAAATAAAATATTCTATTTAATAGGTCAAACTCCTGATTTGGACAAGGAGATATTGGATGGGAAAATTGATGTTGTGTATGGGAGTCCCGAGTCATTACTGGGTGAATGGAGGGAACAGCTGCAACATCTTGATGTATCTGCTATTGTCATTGATGAATTTCATTTGATTTCCACATGGTAAGTAGTCAGTTAATATGTTTGATGGTGCGACCGTTGGAGCGAGGGCAGTTTTGTATATTTTAAAAACCATTTCTAGATCTGCCTCTTCAAACCACACAAGACTCATGAAGGTTAAAGGTCAGATGCACTCGGTCTAGACTGTGACGTCACATCATTTGTATGTTAATTTTGTTTCCTTTATGAGTGTAAAAAGTGAAAGTTTTTTTAATGGTGAGCATTTAATCTGTTTTATATCTGCAATTTCCATTAAAGCAAGACGAGTTTCTTTTTTTATTTGTGAATTTTTCCTTGGTTGTCGGAGAACGTAGTTTAGAAAACTGAAAGCGGTGCATTGTGGGTCCATAGGTACTGCGGAAAAAAATTCTATTGAATCAATGTGCAGCAGTCCAAATTTTCTCTTCCCTCAGGCATTGCTTTAGGAGCTCGCAGTGATGCTGCGCTCGCTATAATAAGAATTGTTGGTACAAGTAGAAACAGTTCCAATACGCTTTTCATAAAATTTAAATAACTCTGAGTTACCTTCTTAATATTAAGAAATGGAAGAAGAAATCTTCCTTAACAATTTTCTTGAAATATTTTAGGGGAGATGATGATGCACAAAATGGGAAGAAGGCATTCCGACGGTGGCTTGGTGAGCTGGGAGAACTTAGATCCCTGTTCCCTAGTGCTCCTTTGTTGGCTCTGAGTGCGACATGTACACAGAACATACAGAGACGAGTCATCAAAGCCTTAGCCTTGAATCATCACACATACGTGTATAAATCCCCTGACAAGAGGAACATCAAGTATAGTGTTAAAAAAGTTCCCGGTGACATTGATATGGCATGGACATGGTTAGTGGATGGTCTCATGGAACTGGGAGCTTTGTTTCCAAAAACACTTATATACTGTAAGTCCATTAGTGATGTAGCGAAGATCTATGACTACATAAATGATGAGGTGTCCAAAGAATTTGAGTCATTCATTGGTATGTTTCACTCTGAGACGGAGAGTTCTATAAAGGAAAGAATATTGTTATCTATCAGGGATGAGCAGAGCCTACTGAGGATCATCATATCCACAAATGCAATGGGTATGGGAGTGGACTTTAAGGGTCTGTCTAACATTGTTTTATATGGCCCACCTTGTTCAATGCTCGATCTCGTTCAAGAAATTGGACGTGCAGGGAGGGGGGGGGGGTGAGAAGTCTATAGCCGTACTTATGTACAACTCTCATCACCTGCAACAGTGTGACTCTGACGTGAAGAGACTTTATAAAGAGAACACATGCAGAAGAATTCTGATGATGGAACCATTTCTCAGAGAGAATGATCTGGATGATCTCAAATCCAGCACTGGAGACTGTACCTGCTGTGATATTTGCCAAGAGAGCTGTTCGTGTGGAAGTTGTGCTCTTCTGCCATTTGAAAAACTGTGTGTGGGAAATACAGATTCAGGACACGATACTGAAGACTCAGACAGTACTGAAGATCTCTCTGATTTTGATTTGATGATTTGAATTTAATTCCTTGATCAAGTTCATATATATAGTTGTAAAACTTGCTTGTTGTGTTCCTGTAATTGTGTATCATCATTCAATAACCCAATATACATGTAGTATACAGGGTAAATTTTGCCCCCGTTTTATTTTCATCCCATTTGCTCATACCTTTGTAACACAATGAGCATATGCATGTACAATTTAATTGAAATGTTAATTTTGTACAGTGCACTTACTGATGTTGTAATATGAATTTTGCTTATTATCATTGTTATAATTTAGTTAATCTGATGTTTTTATCCGGAATTATATAATCTTCTTTTGTTGGTTCTGTAATACTGTTGCGTACTTATACAAATAAAGTAGTTCCAAAATGGCATCCTTCTGTGGAGCACATGTGTTTTGACTGTGCACGAACCCATTGTCTAAAAAGACATAACATTGGCGACGAGGATCGTTCAGGATGGCAAAATTCGCAGCCATTGGTCGTATCGACATCTTCGACAACAGTGTCGAAACCTGGAACTCGTACAGTGAGCGCCTTGACCAGTATTTTGTGTGCAATGATGTCAAGGAGGAAAAGAAAGTTCCCGCATTGCTAAGCCTCATAGGGGGTAAGACTTACCAGTTATTGAGAGGTTTGACAGCACCGACTAAACCGGCAGACGTGGAATATGCCGCACTCGTGAAAATACTTGGTGATCATTTGAACCCCCCTCCTGTAGTAATCTCCGAGAGATTTCGATTCTACAAAAGGGACCAGCGGGAAGGTGAGTCTATTAGAGACTATATAGCAGATCTTAGAAGATTGTCAGAACACTGTGCATTTAAAGACAGTCTGAACGAATCGCTACGTGACAGATTAGTTTGTGGCCTTCGGAGCGAGGCAATTCAGAATAAACTGATAGCAGAAAAAGACTTGACATTAGAGAAGGCGACGCAGATAGCACAGGCTATGGAGACCGCATTCAAGGATGCAACCGAGCTGCAGTCCAAACATGTTGGAATGGTAAACAAGCTAGGGGTGAGACAGAAAAAGGGATATTACTCTGCTGGAACTGGAGTAAGGTCGCCACAACCCAACATGCCTAAGGTGAAACGAGGTACGAATTCAAAGAAATGTTTTCGTTGTAACAGTACAGCTCATGATCAAAGTCAGTGTTATTACAAGGACAAACAGTGCTATAATTGTTCGAAAATTGGACATTGTAAAAAGGCGTGTAGGAAAACAAAGGAGGTACACAACGTGGACTGGAGTGAGAATCTCATTGGATCATTAGATGTGAATTCTGTTGAAAAGACTCATTCTGGAGCAATCGTAGTCAACACAAACATTGACGGTGTAGATGTTGATATGGAACTTGACACGGGCGCAGCAGTCTCCGTGATGTCCAAGAAAAAGTTCTGTGAGTATTTTCCAGGAAGGATTAAGAACTTACCTGAATCAAATATGTGTTTAAAGACATATACTGGTGAAATCTTGAAGCCCTGTGGAGTGGCACATGTAACTGTGAGTCACAACAACCAGAAAAAAGATCTAGACTTGTACGTGATGCAGAAGGCAGGACCAACGCTCTTCGGAAGAGAGTGGCTCCAGCAGATTTCACTCGATTGGCCGTCCATCAAGTCCATGTCGTGTGTGACAGACAAGATTCCAGACACTTGTTCAGATAATGTGAAAGCGGACTTAAAACACATGTTGGGAAAACATCGTTCAGTTTTCCAGAGTGACATAGGTACGGTTAAGGGTATTGAAGCTACACTCAACTTAAAGCCGGACGCTAAACCAAAGTTCTGTAAAGCCCGCTCAGTACCGTATGCTCTCAAGCCTAAGGTCGAGGCTGAACTGGGCAAACTAGTCAGAGATGGTATCATAACCAAGGTGGACTACAGCGAATGGGCAACGCCTATTGTCCCTGTCATCAAATCTGATGAAAGTGTGCGCATATGTGGTGATTTCAAGGTGACACTGAACCCTGTTCTTGAAATCGATCAGTATCCGCTGCCCCGCATTGAAGACATTTTTGCAGCACTCGCAGGTGGTAAGCGATTCACCAAGTTAGATTTACGACATGCATATCTGCAAATGAGAGTAAATGAGGAGTCGCGCAACTTATTGACAATAAATACAGAGAAAGGACTCTACCGCTACAACCGTTTAGTTTATGGTGTGGCCTCAGCTCCTGCGATCTGGCAGAGGACCATCGACACAGTCTTACAGGGTCTCACAGGCGTCAAATGTATCATTGATGATATGATAATAACGGGCTCATCTGAGGAAGAACACCTGAAGAATTTGGAAGCTGTATTAACGCGCCTGGATGAATACAACTTGTGTGTGAACTTGAATAAGTGTGAATTCTTCAGAGAACGTGTTTCTTATTGTGGACATGAAATAGACTGTGAGGGTCTGCACAAAACGCAATCCAAGATTGAAGCAGTTGTCAGTGCGCCAAAGCCGAAGAATGTTTCTGAGTTGCGATCATTTCTGGGCATTGTTAACTATTATGCCAGATTTTTGCCTAACCTTTCAAGTCTTTTGTACCCGCTACACCAGTTACTGTCCAAGAGCCGAAAGTGGTCCTGGTCTAGCGAATGTGACAAGGCATTTTCTGAAGTCAAACAGCTTATTACCTCTGATGAGATTTTGACTCATTACGACCCACAGCGAGAGGTGCGATTAGCATGTGATGCTTCACCTTATGGTTTAGGGTGTGTATTATCCCATGTCGTGGATGACGGATCAGAGAGACCGATAGCATATGCATCTCGCTCATTGTCGTCAGCTGAGCGGAACTATTCACAGATAGATCGTGAGGCTCTGGGGATAGTATGGGGTGTGAAACGTTTTCATACATACCTCTATGGAAGACACTTCACTTTATTGACGGATCATCGCCCTCTTGTGTCCATCTTCAGCCCCAGCAAAGGTGTATCAGTCACCACAGCAGCACGCATGCAGAGATATGCTCTGTTTTTATCAGGGTATGATTATGACATTATGTACAAAAACACCAAAGCGCATGGAAATGCAGATAGCTTATCGAGGCTACCACTGTCTGACTGTGAATCTGATGATGATTATCAAGATATTGACTTGATGTACCTACCACAATTTGAAACATTACCAATCACCAGTGACCGTATTAGACAGGAAACTGGACGTGATCCTGTCACTGTGAAGGTATATGGTTATACCATGAATGGATGGAACTTTTCGGTCAAAGCAGATGATAAGGAGTTGTATCCCTACTTTACGCGTAAGGACGAGTTAACCATTCACAATGGATGTTTGTTGTGGGGAATGAGAGTTGTTGTTCCAACAAAGCTTAGGGATCACATACTTAAGGAGCTTCATTTAGGTCATATTGGAGTAGTCAAGATGAAGGCATTAGCTCGAAGTGTGGTATGGTGGCCTGGGATCGATCTTGATATAGAGAGGATCACGAAAGCATGCTCAGGATGTCAGGAATTCAAGCGTGCACCTCCAGCAGCTCCCATTCATCCGTGGGAGTGGCCCACAAAACCTTGGGAACGTATCCATATAGACTTCGCTGGGCCTTTTATGAACTGGATGTTCCTAGTAGCAGTAGATGCACACTCTAAATGGCCCGAGGTCATAATGATGCGCGAGACGACATCCCACAAGACTATTGAGGTCTTGAGAAGTATCTTTGCTAGGAATGGTGTTCCTACGGTGTTGGTCAGTGATAACGGACCTCAGTTTACGTCAGACGAGTTTGGAAACTTCATTCGTACCGATGGAATAAAGCATGTGACTTCTGCTCCATATCATCCTAGCTCAAATGGATTAGCGGAACGTTTTGTACAATCGTTCAAGTCCGCAATGAAGTCAAGCAAGAAAGATGGAGGTTCTGTGGAAACGAAGTTATCTAACTTTTTACTAGCCTATCGCAACGCAGCACATTCAACTACTGGAGAGTCACCCGCAAAGCTATTCATTGGTCGTTCATTGCAGTCACGACTAGATTTGATAAAACCAGACATTGAACAAAATGTTAAAAACAAACAGTTTCACATCGCAACTAAGAGATCAAGTTCATTGCGTGTGTTTGAACCTGGGCAAAGTGTAATTGTTAGGGACTACCGTCACAGTTCAAAGTCGGACTGGGTACCAGGAACCGTTCAAGAGCAGACGGGACCAGTTTCTTATAGAGTACAAGTTGGGGACAATACATGGAGAAGACACGTGGATCAGATACAGGATTCTTCACTAAAGAATCAGGGAGTTGTACCCAGTGATCTTGAGAAATTTGTGCCACAGGTACATGTACCAACTCCTACAGTTAGTGCTAAGCTGTCTAGTCCGGAAGTCCTTCCGCAAAGTCCGAAAGTCAGGCAGTCGAGTCCAGAGGTGTTCAACAGGAAGAAAGCTAATAGTCCTATCCAGGAACAGAAATCTCAGCCAGAAGTTAGGACCGAGCCTACAACACTAGCCAGACAAAATCCAAGACGAAATGTTGGACCGCCCAAACGTTTCAGTGACTATGTTACTTTCAAATGAATTGTGCATTTTGTTTTGTATAATGGCACAGTTTTGGGGCACAATAATCCCCGTGCCTTTGTGTTGACCAAGAGGTCATTTTCACTTTGTATTACTGTATTGTGTTGAATGTATTGACCTGATAAAACATGTCTATGAAGTTTAAAATTTGAAATGTGTATATTGCCCAAATTTCATTCAATTTCAGTTCTGATTTTAATTCTTGTGGAAGTCAAAATTAAGTGGGGAGGAATGTTATAATTTAGTTAATCTGATGTTTTTATCCGGAATTATATAATCTTCTTTTGTTGGTTCTGTAATACTGTTGCGTACTTATACAAATAAAGTAGTTCCAAAATGGCATCCTTCTGTGGAGCACATGTGTTTTGACTGTGCACGAACCCATTGTCTAAAAAGACATAACAATCATGATTATAATTAATACTAACAGTGTGTAGAGCAATGGACACTAACCCTTAATCATGAGCTTGTTTACAAACTGTGCGAGATTGGATACAGTAAGAAGAGTTTCTTCATTGACTGACAATTCGTGTTCACGATGTGTTGTTCACAAACATTGACACTTTCCAATCAGACTCTTTGCACAGAGACCAATCTAATCATCCAAAGAAGGTGCAGAATTCAGTGTTCATGTGAACTGCATTGCCTTATCCTATAAGGAGATGGGAGACAGATCTTTAGTGAGGGGTGGAATACATGTATATCAATATTAATGATGTGACACTACAACTTACTGATTGGTGTCTCCAGTGCTGGTTTGATACTTTTGATGCAGCTTTCCTTACAAAAGATTTGCGCACCGGGTTTCAATAACTTTTACCATCTCTGAGACCTATGAGATGCTAATGATTTCCTCTGAGATCTTTAGCTAATAAACATTTGTGTACTATTGATTTGCCTTTGCTGTGAATTTTAAAATCAAACTTTATAAAATTTCAACAATCTTCTTAATCTGAACGTTGTTTGTTATACTTTTTAGCAGAAACTTAAAATGTACAAATTCGAAAATATCAATATTACATGTACAATGTATACTGTGAAAAATTGGCTTTTGGAAACAAACCAGGTGAAAATGATTTTCAGTATACCTGCCGGGGGGGGGGGGGGGGGATTTTAATACTGTATACAGTAATAAATAAGTAGAAGTCATGCATCATTAAATGTATCACAATTTATCTAGTTTCAGATGGTATAACTTTAACAGTCTGTCACCAAATAAATACAAAATCGTATTTGCATACAGAGAATTTTACAACTCTAAACTTCTTATGAGTGAATAAATGGTATTTCAGACTTTCTTAAATTATTAGAAATTCCACAGAAAATATACATTGTGTAATATATATAACTTTAAATTATAGCATACATGCACGTCTCTTAAAATTTTGAAAATTGCACTTTTGGATATGCACAACATGTACAATGAAGACTGCTTGTAAAAGAAATGGACATGTATAGCAAAGTGTTAATTTTATTCAAAAAGGGAATTATACCTGATGAATAAATATCATAAAAAGCATTCAAATATTAACATTTAAAATGTCCATTGAATATTGAAATCAGATTTTAAAATCGACAATCTCTAAGTCGCCCAAATGGTGACGATGGTTTATGCCGGTGAAGCAATGTTGACAGGTCTCGTGAACAGTTCAAAAACGGATTTCTATCTAATCCAGGCAGCTTCTTGCTTAACTTCCTATTTACATCTCGAATTAGAAAGTTATGGTCTAACAAATCTTTGACAACCTTCTGAACATCTAAAAGGTAAGAGGGATGGTGATGAAATCCTTTTCTGTTTCCAAACTCACTTGCCTGCTCAAACTGGTTTGTAAGCTGGATAAGTAATGGATACTCCTTTGAATGCCTTAAAATGCTTTCCTTGGTCTGATGGCCTGTGCATGCAGCCTTACTGTCACGATTTAGCATTTCAATATACTCGTCTAGTGAAATGTTGTTATTCTTTCCTCCCTGAAGATTTACATATCTGTTAACTATGAAACGCTCTTCTTGGTCTGGAGTCAAAAGTCCTGATGCCATTGCTGTTGTATGTATGGAGGAGATGGAATATTTAATCTTCTGGGTTTTATGGTAAAGTGGAAGCTCGTACTTAGCCGAACGGACACATCGACCACCATCCCCCATATCAACGCCATCATCAAAATTTTTATGAAGCATGACCAGCTTGAATAGCATCAAAACATAGTCTTGAACCTCATCACTCTGTACATGTTTTCCTTTTTTCATTCTGCTCAATGAAACACTATGTTTTTCTGACTCATGGGCCTTTAGAGAGCTAACTCTTTTGTAATCCTTATCACAGTGATGACACTTAAAGCGTCCATTGTTAAATGTTGCTGTCCAGTAGTTTTTTTGTGCATCCTGTAAATCATTTCTTATTTCCTCCATCACATCTTCTTTGTCATCAAAGAACCATTTTACAATAATCTCTTCACACAAGTCATTCAGCCACTGAATCTTATCACAAGATGACAATTCTGAAAGGTTTGGTAGAGATATATTGGCTATATCTACAGACCCCATCTTGTCTAGGAACAGAACAACACAAATAGCATCGAGAACTGTGTAATATAGCATCTTATATGCTCTATATGCATTCTTAACTTTTCCCTTTGCACTTCTATGCCCTAGTAGGTTTCTGTAATAATGCATTGTGCATGGTTCCCCTGCTAGGTCAGAACTGTAGGTTAACTTGAAAATTGCCTGAAAAATATACAATAATTTATCATATCCATGATCAACCTTGAAGTATTTTTTTTCATGCATCTGCCATGTTGGTTACTGTTTTAGTTACATTTGTACATGTACGAATCTGACAGGATTTTATGAAATGCCACTTACTTCAAGAAAATTCATCAGTCGATGAAAATCTTCACTTTTGGAGATGAATCCCTCTAATCTACCTTTCGACGTTAATGAATCTTTGAGGGCAACTTGTGCACATTGAACTCTCTCGTCAGTTAGACGGTCACCTTAAAGAAAAATTTCTATAGAGGCATGAATTTTATTAAGTTTCCACAAGAATCATTTTTTTTTTTTTATCATTTCCTTTTCATATCAGTTTTGATGGTGTTTACCACTGATGTTTTTATTTGTGAATAAACTTTATTTATGACAAATATTGTAATGCTACATTCCATTATCTTTAAGATGTTAAGTTACATTAATTGTGGCTAACATTACCTCCAAAAAAAAAAACGGCATCAACAACTTCTTCATTTTCAGTTGGGACATACTGATCAGTAAGAAATTTAAGAAGGCGAATCATTTCATCCGTTTTATTTTCATTGGTATCAAAAAGTCCAAGAGAATACTACAAAATAATGACAAAAATCTAATTATTGTAATTGAAAAAGAATGATCCATTGGCAATTCAGTTACCATATAAAGTACACTTCTTTAAAATATCCATGTTTAAAAGCTAGTACCTGTGTTGTTTTTATCCCAGCACAATGGCTATGTTTGTGCTCTAAATGTTTTGGATATATTGCGTTGAAGCACTTGGCAACTTTAGGAACATTTCTGATGATGGCCGATGCAAAGATGAATTTCAGCTCTTTTAGGAGTAGCTTTTGCTCTGAGATAGAAGGGATGTAAGTGAGATTGTCTTGGAATCCGTCTGACCCAAGTGGATTTCTGGGAGTGTATCGGTCAACAATAGCATAGACTTGAAATAAATGAAGACTCTGGGTTTTTCTCTCTGTTGTGCGATAGGAGGGAAGAATCTCCTTGTCCCAGTTGTCACCTACGAGTTGATACTTAGCTAAAGGTTCTTCCTTTTTCCATTTTATCTACATTCAGAAAAGCAAAATTTTCATTCCCCATTACAAACAAGAGGCCCATGGGCACATCACTCACCTGAGTCACTATGGCCCTACTGTCCTCAGCAGCATATTTTTTCCCTATATATTCCAATGTAA